TATTCAACGTGTTCATGCCTTAATTGCACTCATGTTTGTCTCTGAAGGTATTTATGTTGTGTGTCTATATAATGCGAATTTAATGATACCCTAAAAGATATCCTATATCCTCTAACACGGGATTACGATCCATTAGGGTTATCAAGAGCAATTTAGCAATTTGAGATGATTGAGCTTATTCTCCTCTTGCCAAGACCAAAACCGCTTTAGTTGTGAACAAACCGTTCTCTGTAACGACGATGACGACATTGCGCGAAAAAAAAAGACTTATTTCTTAAAACATTCTCCTAAAACATGTGATACTTTATATTTATAGACTCTAGAGGCAGAGATTTTTGTATTCAATTTAACAAATTGACGTCAGTTTTTATTATGCGTCAGTCCTCTTATTGGTGATAAATTGCGTTATAACATTGTCAAAGTGGTTGTGGAACCACGAGCCGTAGGCGAGTGATTCCACAGTAAACTTTGACAATGTTATGACGAAATTAATCATCAATAAGAGGACAGACCCATAAAAAAACTGACGTCAATTTGTTTTTTACAATAACAAGACCCCAAAATGGTCAAATGCCGGGAATAAATGAGGGGGAAAGACGCTGTAAGCTTGCCGTAAACAAAGATAAGTGAATTTTATTCAAAATGACGCGAACATTGTCAATAGTTTTCTCGCTTTTTGATTGGCTTCTCAAAAACGTCCATAAAATTTCATTGGTTAAAAAGTTAACAGTTTGACAGCTGAAAGTTGAACTTGAAAACTTGCATAAATTAAAACTTTATCCGTCTGTATTCTTATTGATGATAAAAATAAGCCAATCAGCGCGCGAGAAATTAGACAGTTATTGTAAAAATAGTTACCTTCTTGGACTCTGTCAAAAATATGTTTTGAAAAGATCAGTCGAAAAACATCATCTTTTGTTGCGTCTTTACAGAAAAACCTTCGATCACCACTCATCCACAAGGAGATACCGTAAGAGAAGGAGAAAACGTGACTTTATCTTGTAACGCTACTGGAAATCCAGTACCAACAATATCATGGACCAGAGATGCATCTCCTGTAGATACAAGAAACAACATTTCCAGGATCAGTATTTCAGATGACAAAAAGCAGTTGACAATAACGAATGTTAAGAGGACAGACAGCGGGAAATACCAATGTGTGGCAGAAAACAGGGTTGGAAGTGATACCTCAGATGCCGCTACGTTGGATGTGCAGTGTAAGACTATATTTGTGGACAGTCATGTGATTTTAACATTATAAAATGTTTTTATCAGTACATTAGGCGTCAGCTTTCCAAGAAAAAAAAAATTGAATGCGTTAACCTTCTAAACAGAATCCTGTTGCGATAAAAAAAAAATAAATAATAATCAGGACCTTATGATTAAAGTTCTCAGACCTGAGTTGATTTTTCAACGTCCATGGCTATAACAACTGTAATAGCTTAACGTCAAATTGTATTGCTTAAATATGACAATACAGTTGAACCTCGCTATCTCGAATTCGGATATCTCAATCCCTTCACTATCTCGGACTCAAATCATATTCCCTTGGATACACTTTTCAGTCTTTTTCTATCTCGAGCCCTTGCTATGTTGAACTATTTTTCGTTTCCCTGGAGAGTTCGAGATAGTGGGATTCAACTGTACCTGAGCAAAAGACGTGATAATCTTCAACCGCCCGGTTTCAAACTTCCCGAGTTTTTGACCGTGTATTTAAAAGCGTAACACCACGCCGATGCCAACATCTCCAAGTCCTCTAACGAAATGTTAAACCTATGACCAGTCACAGCCGAAGGTTAGAAGCAATAAAATCTATTGCCAAGTGTTCATACTGAAGTGCTCATAATTTATAATTATTTGCAGTAAATTCTTATTAGTTATCTCAATGAAAACATTGCAACTCTCGCCATTCATATTCGGTGATTATATTTTCATTTCTTAGATTGATTATTTCTTGTTCTAGATCCACCTGAGATTACTGTTCATCCAAACTCTGAACCAAAAACAGAAGGAGGCAACCTGACCTTATCTTGTGACGCTGTCGGAAATCCAGTACCAACAATATCATGGACCAAAGATGGATCTCCTGTTGATACAAGCGGGAGGATCAGTTTTTCAGAAGACAAAAAACAGTTGACAATAACGAATATGAACAGGACAGACAGCGGAGTATACCTATGTATGGCGAATAACAACCTTGGAAATGAGACTTCCAATGTTACTACATTGGATGTACAGTGTAAGTATAGTATCTATTAAACAATTAGATTACGAGCTCGAGATTTCTATCGCGTGATAGTTGACCTGGGCACAGCCCGAGAGGACTATTACGTGATAGAAATCGAGAGCGAATAATCTAATTGCTTTAGTATAAATCTACTAATCGTTCAAAACTTAATCTGAATCCTCTTCACAGACAATTCGAAAACGCCAAGAGGCGGCCGTCATTTTGTTAACAAGCGCACACTGCTACGCTACCCATTATCTATCACAGAATAGATAGTGAGTGGTGTAGCCAATCAGAGAACGGCATTCGTGATAGATCAATAGTAAATTTATACTAAAGTTAGATAGAACTAGGATGGGAAAATATAACGTGGCTTTATCTTGTTTCTTGCATTTTGTATCTTTTTTGAATTCGAGTTTTCAAAAATTAAGGATAATGACTTGAAATAGTGACGTTTGAAACCAAACAGCAGTAGTCATAAGTTAATCTCTTTTCAATTGTTGTCTCCGCCAGTACATTAGCTCGTTACAAATCTCCTGTTGAGGGCAAGTAAATATTTTCTGCATGCATTACCTCNGAATACCTTCTATTTCCCTTGAGCGTTTAATTGCAGTGCTTAAAATTTCTACACCAATAACAAACAAGATACCATAGAGTGGGCAACCCTGCCTGACACCTCTGCTTAGATTAAAATGTTTGGTGGCAAAGCCATTGTTCAAAACACAACTTGATATGTTATTATATAAGACTGTGATCCATTGTCGTGATTGAGGACCAAAGTTAAAAACTTCGAGGCATTTTTGAAGGTAGCTCCATTCAATAGAATCGAAAGCTTTTTCAAAATCAAGAGAGACCGCGATGTCTGGAATGTTTTTCTTTTTGGTAAAGGAAATCATGTCCGTTATGATTCTGATACTCTCACCTATATATCTTCCCATTACGTATCCTATTTGACTCGGGCTAATAATCGTGGGTAAGACTTTTTCCAGGCGTAAAGCTAAAGCCTTTGTGACAATTTAATGGTCGTTGTTCAATAGGGAGATTGGTCTCCAATTTTTGAGGTACTTTTTGTCTTTGTCTTTCTTTGGTATTAACGATATAATATAAACTTTTACAGGAAAAGGATCACAGCGAAACCTCAGGCTTAAACTGGTCATATTAATGATGCTCATTTTGACTACTTTTGCACAGTTTACAGATCTCCAATAAGGATCCAAACTTTCTACAACACTGAGTTTGCTGTTGTTTATCTACAGATCCGCCTGAGTTCACTGCTTATTCACAGAATGTTACAAAACCAGAGGGCGATAACGTCACTTTATCATGTAACGCTACTGGAAATCCGGCACCAGCAATATCGTGGTTCATAAATGGATCTCCTATAGATACAACTATTAACAATTCCAGGATCAGTTTTTCAGGAAACCAAAAACATTTGACAATAACCAATCTAAGCAGGACAGACAGCGGAAAATACCGATGTAAGGCGAACAACAGTCTTGGAAATGGTACATATGTTGCTAGACTGGATGTCCTATGTAAGTAGGAAGCGCTGTTTTAATTAATTAAAAACAAACAGTTTGAAAACTGGTACCGTGAATTTGCTGTCGGCAAACCCCCTTTTCCGGCTTCCGATTTTGCATGAAGTTCATTTTCTGGTAAAATTTATAAAGGAAAATATTTGGAATTTCCTTGAATGGAAAAGCTCATTTATAGTTGCAGCGAAAAT